TCGCCTACCGCTAAACAGAACCTTCAGCTAAGCACAAGACGTCGCTGGGTATGAAGGGGGGCCTACTATGAGGCCCCCCTCATTTGGGGGCCCCATAGGGGGGCCCCCTATGCTCTAGAGGTGTGTCTGTCTGACGCGCCTCAGCTGCTGCAATAGGACGCCCTGAGGGGGAGAGGCTCCCCACCGGAGACAGACTCGAAGGGGGCCCCGGGGGCCCCGCTGCATCCTAACAAGGATGGAAGGGGCCCCCCCATGGGGGCCCCCTTCATACCCCGGTGGGCGTCTGGGAGGGTTCAGCTACTAGGTGTATACCAGAAGTAGTGAAGGGATTAGGGTTTAGGGTTTAATGCGTTTAATAGAAAGGGCGGCAGGCTTTACCTCCGTCTCAATATGTTTGTAAAATTGATTTTAAGGGTCTAGGGTTTAGGGTTTGGGGCTTAGGGTTTAGGGTTTAGGAGGGCCCTTCCTTAAAAGGCCATCAAACTGGGAGGGGGCCCCCAAGGGACTGAATGAGACAGGGGGCCCCCCAGAACCCAACTGTGCAGCAACGTTTTGTGGGGGCCCTTGGGGCCCCCCTTTCAATGGGGGGGCCCCCTTTCAATGGGGGCCCCTTTTCAGTGGGGGCCCCCTGAGCTACTTGGCAGCAAGGGGCCCCCTCGACTGACGGGACTAAAGGGTCCCTCTTTTTACCTTTTAGGGGCCCCCACCTACTAACAGGGGCCCCGCAACTGTACGAATAACTGGGGGCCTCAGGGGCCCCGTAAGGGCCCCCTAGGGGCCCCCAGGGGCCTCCAAGGGTCACCAATAGGGCCTTAAAGGGGCCCCATGGAGCCCTTCGAGGGCCCTGTCTGGCTCTTGTGGGCTTAGCAGCAAACGAAGGGCCCTGTCGGGTGTACAGACAAACAAGGGCACGAAGAGATGCTGCAGGGCGATATACAATTTGAGAAGACAGACAGAGGAGATACTACACTCCATCACTCTATCATACACGAGAATACGTTGCAGCTGCTGCTGTTGCTGCTGCTGCTGCTGTTGCTGCTGCTGCTGCTGCTGGTTGCAGCCTGTGGCGCAGGGAGACAGTCTCTGCCTAGTTGCATCTCTTTAGCCCTCCGCAGGTCTCTGAAGAGGAACACCTACAGAGGGGAGAGACGCAAGGTCCCTGTACAACCGTACGGGGCCCCCAAGGGGCCCCCTTGGGGCCCCATAAGGGCGTCCTAACAGTACCCTAAAAGCCCTTAAGGGGCCCCCTAGGGGCCCTCCAAGGGCCCTCGCGCCATGAAGGGCCCTCTAAGGACCTTCTAGGGGAGCAGTAAAAGCAGCTGAGGGGCCCCTGCGGGGGCCCTTGGGTGTCTTAAGGGGGCCCCTTGGGGGCCCCTAATCTGTGTCTACCCGGGGCAGTGAAGGGCTTGTCTTTTAGCTGAAGAGACAGGTGTCTCCTTTATCTCTAGTGGCCGTTTGCTGCTGGGGGCCCTTCCTCTGGTGACCTGCTGAGGGGGCCCCTGAAAGGGATTAGAGAGGGCCTCGGGGGGCCCCCAAAGAGGAGACAGTCTCTCCTTGCGTGTCTCCGTCGCCTGCAGCAGCAAACTTGCAAACGCCTCGAAGGAGGGCCGGATCTGCTGCTGTTGCAGCGCTAGCTGCAGCGCAGCAGCAGCAGCAGCAGCAGCAGGCTTCAGTGCTGCCGCCAGAATACCGATGAGGGCCTCCGCCTCAAGGGGCCTCGGGGGCCCCTGCTCATACAGTGCATGAAGCCGCTGTGCCCTGCGGTGCAGCAGCTGCAGCAGCAGCAGCAAACCTACAGCCTCTCTTGGATTCAGGTTGCTGCCTCGTAGGTCTGCTGCAGCAGCAGCAACATGCAACGGGTCTTGATTGGGGGGCCCCTGCAGCAGCACCATGGCCCTAGCTTCCTTATACGATAGAAAGGCAAACCCGGAGGGGGCCCCTAATGCGCGAGGTAGGGGGGCCCCCAGGGGGGCCCCCTCTCCCTTGGGGGCCCCAAGGAAGGTCTGCAGCAATTGCTGCGCTTGAGGTGGAGACAGAGAGCAGCGGCAGCAGTATAACTCGAAGCATAAGAACCATAGATCTCTTAGAGGGCCCCTAAAGCAAGAGAGGGGCCCCGGTGAAGCAGGCAACAAAGAAAGTGCTGCTGCTGCTGCTGCTGTGTTGGAAGAGAGCAGACAAAAAGCATCAGAGAGACAATCATCTCCTGCTGCTGCTGCTGCTCTTGTTGCCTCTGCTGCTGCTGCAGCCGCTGCTGCTTCCGCTGCTGCTGCAGCCGCTGCTACTTCTGCTGGAGCTGCCGCTACTGCTCTTCCTGTCGTACCAGGAGCAGCAACAGCAGCAGCTGCTGCTGCTGCTGCTGTGGCCCTGTCTGCTGCTGCTGCTGGCAGCTCAAATGCAGCAGCACCTGCTGCAGTCCCTCTGTAGAAGCTGAGTCCAGCCATTGTCTCTAAGACAGCAACAGCAGCAACAGCAGCAGCAAGAGCATCAGCGTCAGTGGACCACCCCCATACTGTGCTGCAGCTGCTGCTGTTGCTGCTGTTGGTGCTGCTGCTGACGCGTGTATTTAGGCAGCAAGTATTAAAGGCCTCACTTTTAGATATATATTTTAAACTCTACAAACAAACAGCAGAAAAGTAGGCGCAAATCGAGATGGGCCCGTGAAAGATCGAAGAGGGAATTGGGGCCCCACACCCAACCCTAAACCCTAAACCCTAAACCCTAAACCCTAAACCCTAAACCCTAAAGACAAGTAACGAATATGAATTAACTTTATGGTTCTGGAAGTTTAAATGGTAGTAGGGCGTTTTGGGTTTAGGTTTTAGTGTTCAGGGTTTGGGCGGCCCTGGTGCAGCAGGGCTTGAGGTTTAGGGTTTAGGGTTTAGGGTTTAGGGACAGGAGAGGCCCCTTTTGTGTATAACAACAACTGATATTCTGACAAACAAAATAAATAATTGTAAAAATATAAAAGAATTTATAAATAATATAATATAATTTAATTTAATAAGGAGTCTTATAAGCCTTAAAGCAGCAAAAGGCCCCATTGGCTCCGCCCGCAACAGCAGCGCAGCAGCAGCAGCAGCAGCAACAGCAGCAGCAGCAACAGCAGCAGCAGCAGTCTCGATTCACACCTTTATCTATTTATGCCTTTACATTTTTTAACCTCCTTTTTTATTATTTAGCGGTTATTTATTTATTTAAAATATAAACAAATTTAATTAATTATAAATAATTAATAATAAACAATTTACGCTAATAATTTTTTGTGGTTTGTTCATCTCGATCTGTTAACCCTCTATATATATTATTAATAAACAATAAACCCTAAACCCTAAAACAAAGGTATTCATATCTTGTTTTGTTTAGCTGTTTGTGTTTTTGTATGGATTATATATATATATATATATATAAATCTATACAAATATATATACATATATATATCTATAAATATTATTTAGATATATGTTTATATTTTATTTATATCTCTTTTACAGCCACAAGTTCGTGGTGTCTCTTCAGGACTAGGTTTAAGGATTAGGGTTTAGGGTTTAGGGTTTAGAGTTTAGTGTTTAAGGTTTTATGTTTAAGGTTTAGTGCGTGGGGGCTACGGTCTCAGGTTTAGGTTTAGCGTTTAGGTTTCCAGGGTTCAGGGTTTAGGGTTTAGGCTTCAGGGTTTAAGGCATAGGGTTTAAGGATTAGGGTTTAGGGTTTAGGGCTGAGGGTTTAAGGTCTAGGGTTTTTGGGTCTAGGGTTTTGGGTTTAGGGGTTAACGCTTAGGGTTTAACAGTATTAGGCAACTTCATTAAAACGTATTTATTAATAATATGAAAATGTATTTATTAATTATATTAAAATATATATTTATATATTATATTCATGCGTATGTGTCGATGACAATAAAGAGAATTTATTTATTATATTAATATATGTTTATTTATTATATATAAATGCATTTACTTACTATAAATATGCTGTATTTATTTATATATTAAAATCTCTTCATTAATTATATTAGAATATGCTTAATAAGTATATTCAAAGGCATTTACTACCTACACTACACCACATTTATTGTATTAGAACAGATTTGCTATTATATTATCGTTATTAATAATATTTATATATATTCATCAGCTTACTGTACTTATTAATCGTATTCAGATGCATTTATTGTGTAAAGAGCTTCCGCTGTCTCTTAGGGGCAGCAGCACATGCACTGTCTCCCTAGAGCAACAGCAGAGAGATTTAAAATCTTTAATGAGAGTTTTATTTGTTTAATAAAAGTAATATTAATAGATTATAATAATAAAGGGGTGTCTGCTGCTGTAAGGGGACAATATATGGGGACTCCTTCTATTTAGGAGACAGTTTATAAGCTGTTGTCTTGAGGAGACAGCAATCTATACAAACGCATTTCTATAAAAGTTTCAATTTATCGCTCGCTGTTGTAGTAAGGAGACAGTTTATTAGCATTATTGTCTCCGGGGGAAACAGCAATCTATAGAGGAGTATTATTACTAATGTAGGGATAAACGCAAATTTAGATGCATATAGAATGCATAGATAAGCGTAAATTATTAATATCAATATATATATACATATATATATATATATATGTATATAAACTTTTAAAGTATATACATATATACACGTACATGTATATATATATATATATATTAGTACATGTATAAATATTAGATATACGCATATATATACTCGTATATATATATATATATATATATATATATATATATATATT